TGCAGAAAAGGTGAAGACTGTGGCTAGCAAAAGGCTGATGCCAGGTATCTACTCAAGAGAGGATGGCTTGTCTTGAATTGCTTCTAACTATTGACCCAGCATGAATATGATAGAAGGTAAATGTTTTGTGAACAAAAAATTCACAAAACATTTACCTTCTATCATTTACTCCCCCCCCCCCACTGCCCTCTTTTTGTACTTAATGTGTTTTGCAGGTCATAATGTTATAAGTTTTAGTGGTAATTGCTGTTTCAAGTATTTTATAAACAATATAACACACTATAACAGGGTCAGCTTCAAAAAAAGGTTTGTCTTCTAGTAATACCAGAATTTAAAACAATAATCTTCTTGGTCACAGCTGATTCGCAGATTTATGTTCTGGATTAAATAATTTAGGAGTATTTCAAATTTTCACAGTTTTATTAATCCGTAGGCAGTAGGAAGGTAGCAATTTGACTTAATTCATTAATCACGAATAACATCAGACCATATTATACTTATGACTTGGTTATAAGCAGTAGTCTGTATACTCATTTCCCATGGTGTCGCAGTGCTTTCTCCTTGGGTGCATCTCTACACTGTTTAAATGAATACCACTCTGTCATAGCTGAATGTAATGGAATCATGGGAATTGTAGTTCTGCACAATTTTTAGCCTTCTCTGGCAAAGAGTGCTGGTGCCTCACCACACTACAAATCCCAGGATTCTGTAGCATTGAGCCACGGCTGTTAAAGTGGTGTTCAGTTGCATTAATTTTATAGGTAGATGCTCCACTTGTTTCCATTCATTTGGCCAGTCTTTAATTCCAGTAAAATTGTCCTTTCTCACATTATGCTACAAAGGTCTAGAATAATGCTAAGGCTGTAGAGATGTTGGTGAGGCTCAGGGGCATACTTATGTTTCTGATCATCAAGCATCCCCAGATGTCAGCACAAGCTCTGAATTTAACTTTGATTTGTAGCACAAAAAGTTGTTGATTTTTTGTCTCGTTGATCTGAGTGCATGCAGCTCATGAGAATGCACCCAGCCTCAGACCATGAGGAAACAGTCCTGAAGTCTCTGACAAGATGTTGAAAGAACATAGACGAGACTTGGAGATATGAATATCAGCATCACAACTACGTCTCTTTATAGTGAAACGGAAGACTGGAAGCACTGCACAGGATAGAACTATTGATATATTTTTTTGCACATCTACTGGACCTACCACAGTAACTGACACTTTTTTCTAAGGAAAATACACTTGCTTTCTTTGTTCTATGTAGCAGATAGTCCTGAGAGGTTGAGAAACAGGCAACTGGAATGCAGGTTTTAGGAAAATATACAAAGACCACAGAAAAATAACTTCAGATTGTTGTGTACAACTTCCTTGTAGTTTTGTCTCAACAAAAAGGAAAGAGGAAATGTGACAACATTTTTAACCTGATAGCATTCATATTATTTGAAGTCTTGAGTAACATTTCCTCATTTCCTTTGAGCCTTTTAACACAGTAAGGTCTGCTGGATTTCATGTCAGTAAGAAAAGAAATGCCCTTCTGATTCTAGTCCAAATTTCAAAAGACTAATTCACAGACACATGGACATATACATTTAAAAGTTCTTTTTGGAGAGTTTACAAAGTAAAAAAAAATCTTAGATGTAGCAGTACAGAGACTTATTGAGAAGTGCAATGTGTCCTGCCTTAGAAAGAAATCTGTAGCAGAAACATCTTGGATACCAAAAGGAGTTACTTCAACTGCTGCTAAAGAAATTTAACATTTTACTACCCCATATGATAAAAAACATAGGAATGCCCTCTTCTTATATGGGATCTATCAACTGAACAACAGAAACAACATCTAAGACAAAATGTCAAGGTGTAACTGCAAAACTGTCCCTTATCAAATGTTAACATAATTGTCTGAGAAAGAAGCTAATGGAGCTTTGGAAGCTTGCATGATGTGTTTTATGCATTTGCATTGGCCCATCAAGGTATCACTCTTTTGTGGTTTTGGGATTTTCTTTTGTTTTGGTGCATGACCTGAATATATAATTAATTGGCCACTTGCAAAGTAATGGCAAATGAGTAATACTAATTGGGTTTTTTAAAAAAAAACGCACCAGAAAATATTACCTAGCAGATGGTATCTTTGCAGTCTGAAATTTTGAGTCTTTTATATATCTTTAATGTTTTTTACCTCTTTCCTGATTCTCTAAGATATTGCGTATGCTTGTGTACAAGCTGACCTCATGTATAACTTGAGGGCAGGTTTTGAGATCAAAATTATGGATTTTGCTATGATTTGTGGATAAGGCAAGGGCAAAAGTTAGGGGCATGTTACAAACAAATCTTTAACTCTCCTTATAACAATACATAGAGGGAATATACTTTGAAAGGGCTAAATAGATAGTTTGTTTATTTGAGGTATTGCAATGGGAATAGGATAAATTGCATTGCTGATCTTAAAATGTCTACATCTGTGCAAATACAGATAGGAAAAAGAATGAGAATGCAGCCTGGCCAAAAAATAATGTGTGTGTAGGGCGGGGGGGGGGGGAGGAGTAATGGAAGCAACCTGACTGTATTGGTGATTCAGTTTTAAGGCAATCAAAAGAGACAAAGGCAAGAAACTCTACCATGCCATTACCCCCCACCCCTCCCCTTGCCAAACTAGAGGAGGCAAAGACAGATTTATTGTCCTTCTCCCAACTTCTTTTTTGCCTGAGCAACTCAACAGCAACATGGGAGAACCATTTGGAGGACTTGAAGTGAAACAGAGCAGCATCTATTTTTAATAAGGGCTTCCTGCAGAAGCTTTTCTTTAGCACAATTGTGTTAGCCATTTTAATAGGGTTTTTTTTTTTCAATCTGGGAATAAATGCATGTGGTAATTTTCTCTTTAGTGCATGAGCCCATCAAATGTTATCCCTACAACAACTTTGTGAGATAAAGGATAGATGGGGTTAAAGTGCTAGCCCAAAATCAATTTTCTTTCATATGTGGGAATTATCATTTTCCTACATTTTTATTGTTGTTATTTGCCATCTAATAACAACATTGTTGGAATTCAAAAACATAGTCATGTTAGTCTGAATCAGTATACAAATGGACCTTATGCTTGGGCATATTACCTATATCTAGTTTTTGGCATGGCTGACTTTCCAAGCCTTAGCAGGCATCTTTACTGCAGAATTAATGCAACTGCCATGGCTCAATGCTATGGAATCATGAGCTTTGGAGTTTTACATGATCTTTAGCCTTCTCTGCCAAATAGTTCTGGAGTCTCACCAAATTAAAATCCAAATGATTCCATAGCATTGTACCATGGCAGTTAGATGTGTCAAACTGCATTAATTGTACAGTGTAGCTTTAGTTTTCTTCTGATCTCTTGACTTCAGTTTCAGCTTTGGTTAATGACTGAGTCAAGTATAGGAAAGCTTTAATTATTAATGTTCTTTGTTACCCATGTTAAAGTTATGTAAATCATTTTTGGTCATGCTTTTGTCCTCCTAAAGCCCAGCTTATTGCTCTCTTGTCTCCTTTTTTCTGCAAGTAATATGCCATCTGCATATCTTAAATTGTTGATGTTCTTTCCCCCCATTTTCATATCTGCTTCCATTGAGTTTAATTCTGAATTTCTTATTTCATGTTCTAAACATAAATTCAACAAATAAGGTGATATGGCATTTCTAGTCCCCTTGCCAATTAGAACCATCCTGTTTCTCAATATTAAATTCTGATAGTGGCCTCTTACTCAAAGTATAGATTATGCATAAATTATCCTTGTGGTTTGTGAATGAAAAGTTCCTCATGATATGTGCCTTTGTGTTAAAAATATATGGCAGCCAGAGGTTGGGCCAGTGATTTTTCTCCTCCATTTTTCTGGTCTTCAATCCTTAGCTCTTCCCTAGGCTACAAATCGACATCAAACTTGTGATGCTTTTTTTCTTAAACCATAAGTGGCATGTAAATGAGCAATGACCTAGATTGCTTATCATGGCATTTATGTGCAGAAGGTTCATGCATTTTTAAAAGGGTCATATGTGTGAAACAAGGTTTCCATCATTTATCTGAAAGGAAATGAACACTTCCATTAAATGACCATTACCATAGTCAACTTCAGAAGAAGGAACTGACAAATTCATGGGTTCATTATGTTGACTGATGACTTGAAGCCACACATGGATTGAAATGTATATCCTTTCTGGAGATACGTTGGGAAGGGTCTAGAGCAGTGGTTTCCAACCTGTGGTCTGTTGACCGCCAGTGGTCCACAAGAACTAAAATATAGTCTGTGGCCTCAACGTTACTACACCATTGCAACAAGAACTACTAGTCTTGCAAACCCCTCTTATAGTGCCGAGGTTTATTAAATATGGTTTTCTGTGGGTGCACAGATGGTGACTACTGTATCAGAAACTAGAGCTGATTTGGTCTATCAAATGCAATTTTCTGAAGGAGCACTCCAAATAACCAAACGGAATCTAAAGTTGACCAAAACTGATTCGTAACCCTTTTGGTACTAATGTTGGAGAGTGGTCTCTGTTCAAAGTGTTTCCTGGTCAAAGTAGTCACTGGTAAAAAACAAAGTTGGGAACTACTGATTTAGAGTGCTGCATTTGCAGTGGGAATGTAGATATTTTGCTGGCCCTCCTATGCTCTCATGTTCTTTGCACTCCATCTGGATAAACAAGATATAGCATGGTGTGTTAGCCTCGTAGAAAGACTTTTAAGACTTCTTCTTCACCAGGTCCCCCAAGATATGCTTTCAGATTATCCTTATTTTCTAGCTGACATCCAGTACTTCTTTATTTTATTTTTTTACTAGCTTTGGGGGACTATTTCCATATGAAACTGTATAAAATTGATCATAAGCTTCAGATGTGCAAAGTGCAGGTAGATTATAACTGCTGTATGTTATAACAAATGTGCATTTAACATGAAAATTCTATATAAAGTACATAGATGTAGAAATGACAGCTTTCAGAATTACTGACATTGTTTCCTGAATTTCTTTTAGTAAGAGAGAACTGGAGCTGGAAGCCCATGCTGTGAGTTTGCCTCTCTTCATTGTATCAATGGATTCTGGTTCTAGAGGGTAAGTGTTTGGGGCTTTGAGTCCCCTTTCTTCAAATGTCATTTGATTACATTAAAAACTAGTACATGTCATTTTCTGATATGTTTATTCATTTTCTTGCTTTTTGGTCTAAAGATCAAACTAGAAATTAAGAGGAATGTGTATCCCCAAGGACTAATCTGACTTCATCAGAGATATGTATCCAAGGAATCAGATATAAAAAAAATTCATGTGTTTGGTTATCACCAAAGCACTGAACGTTCCCCCCCCCCTTTTTTTTTTGGCCTGGAAGCCACTCTGAGTGCCCCCTGGGGAGATAAATAAATTATTATTATTATTATTATTATTATTATTATTATTATTAATCTTGAGTTTATTTTCTAGTGACCAGTCATAAAGCTAAGTACACTAAGTCCAAGATGAACGAGTTGGGTGAAATGAATTTTCTGAAAAATTACAGTGTAGTGTGTGTTTGAGCCTTCAAGACCAATGTTGAATATGTTTATTTAGATGTAACCCCTATTGAGTACAATAGGCATTCTTTTCAGGTAAGTAGATATGTAATAGCAGTCCTTTATGAGTGGATTTTTTTTTTACTACTGGCCAATCAAGCATGTGCTGTAGTAAGGCAGCATTTGCCTTCAAAAATACTACCTTTGTATAGCTACTACTTTTCTTCTTTTCTGTCTCCCCTCCCTCTCTTTCTTTCTTTCTATCTTTCTTTTTTTCCCCCATGTTGCAGTATCAGATAATGCATGAAAGTTTAATAATTATTCAATCCAAATAGTGTAATTAACTCAATTTCAATATTGGCATAGTGCAATGTTTTGACCAGAAAGTCCAATATGGTTACCTTCCAGACAGAAGATTGTTCAATACATTAAAAGAAAGCTTATATGAAGTGTCAGGAAGGTACGTTTCCCAATGAAAGCTTGGTGATTAATTTACAACTGTATAGCAGATACTCAGGTACAATCTATAATGAAGGACATGAACAAGTCAAAGAATGCTTATAATCAGAATTAAGAAAGGTATAAACAAAAAATATTTTATGAAATATGTAGTTTTTTCCCCTAAAGGAATGGAGGAGAAAAACGCAAACTCTGGGGAATGCCTGTTAACAATAACTTTAAAAAATTGGTGACTACTGCAATCCCCTGTTGTATACATCTTCTATTCATCTGATATGTTCCCAAAACCACTGCATCAAAAATAAACCCCACCGTTCAAACCATCTGATATAATTCATAAAGCACTCAAGAGTCTATAATTGGTCCCTTTGCCCTGCCTTTGGCCTTCTTTCAACTGCTTTTAACACCAGAAGTGATCAAATCGTCACTTCATGTTTTTTGGAGAAAAGGCTTATTGTACAGGCCTAACTCAGCCTGGGTATACAAAGATGGGATGACATTGTCCATTGTGCTCCTATACTTTAAACAGTCCGTGTGGCCTTTTTATTGTAAAAGAAATTGTGCCATGGGAGGTTGGAGTAACCTAAAGATATCTTGGAAACAAAAAATGGTTTAAGGGCCAATTAGCTATGTCTGCACCAGTTTTTGTTGGAGATTAACATGGTCTAGCAAATTTGTGAGAGGGGGGAAAAACTTTTGAAAAAAAATGCCTTTTTTAGTATACCTTGCAGTCAACATGATGTGATGAAAGGCCAGATCCATATGGGTTGTTAATGTGCTACAAAAAGAAAAAAGAAAACAGAGAAGAGGAATAAAAGAACAATGGTCGGAAGAGACCTGGGGATCTGGTGCTATTTGTCTAATTTACATATGATGTAGACTCATAGGACAGCAGGATCATCTATAGATAGATGGTACCAGTGTATTCAAGATATTACAAACCCGGGCAGTTGTGACCAACAGCAAAATAATTTTTGCCAGGACTAATGTGTGGGGATTTGTAAAAAGGCACTATGATGTGATGGGTTGACTGGAGAGGTGTGAATTCTGATTGGCTACTGTCTCTAGCTTGCTGCTGAGAGAAATTGTTTTAACTGCCAATTTCACCTCAGAGAGTGAGAGCCCCTGGTGACGCAGTGGGTTCAACCCCTGTGCCAGCAGGACTGAAGACCGACAGGTCGCAGGTCCGAGAGGCGGATGAGCTCCCTCTATCAGCTCCAGCTCCTCATGCAGGGACATGAGGGAAGCCTCCCACAAGGATGATAAAACATCAAATCATCCAGGTGTCCCCTGGGCCTTGCAGACGGCCAATTCTCTCACACCAGGAGTCACTCCTGACACGACAAAAAAAAATCCTCAGAGAGTGAAGAGAGTGCTGACTGGAAACAGCCAGGAAGGAAATGGCTGCCAAATCTCTGAAGCCTGATAATTTCTAAGGCATGAAGCATATTTTAAAGACTGTTTAAAAAGACTGTCTATTTCTCTGTTTTCTGTAAGAATTCAGAGAGACTGCTATATATATTGTTGTTCTGTTTGACCTTTTGAACTGAAGTAAACTTACTGTTACTCATTATACAAATCCGAGTAACACATTATTACATTGCAGGGTATATTTTGGTTCAGAAACGGTGGTAAAGCTTCTGTTTATTTACATTTACAACCTCGACTATAATGGGCATCAGAAGGGCCAATGAACTTTATCTGAAGTGTATATTGATGTACATTTAGAAAAACAATGCCAAATTCATGTGTACATTGGGTTCTTAAATGGCTATGGATAAGAATGTGAATGTCTGTCAATCTTATCTTGGTTACTTTTCTCAGAATTTCATTGACATTCCTATACTATCTCAGTCCTATGCCAGATTGTACATGTTTTCTGTTTGTACATATAAAAGAAGCAAATATACAATTCTTTGTTTGCCTTTTGGTTAAAAACACATTTTGACATATTTCCCCCATTGAACAAAATCTTCTCAATGGACATTGGACAATGCATGCCATCCCCCCCCCCCCCAAATGTGTTCTAAGCTTCAACATGTCAACTCTATTGCATAATTAGTCTCAAGAGATGCAAAACGGATATTTCTGGGTGATGAGATAAATGGTGCCACTATAATTGAATGAATGGTAAACGTGAAAAGAAAGAAAAGATGGGAAGGAAACTACTGCAGAGGGAGAAGACACTTTATCCTAGACTTTTTCAAACCTGGCAGTGGCACCATTAGCACCAGACTGAGAAAGGCTATTCTGCATTATTACAAACGGTTTCCAGTTGTTTGTTTTTGCTCTCTTTGGGCCATGCATCTGGATCATGCCTTGATGGATTGCCTTTTTAAAAAATAAAAAAATAAAAATGCCTGTTACTTTTATATGGACAGCAGCTTTCCTTTCCCGGATAAATTGCCATTGAACCATTCCTCCCAGTGAGAGGTTTGGGGGGTGTTTCAGGCTTTTAGTGTCCATTAGGAGAAACTGATCAATATGAGGATGTGCAGGCCTTCTTTATGTATCATGACCTGAATGAGCTCTGTGTTGGAGAAGCACTTTTCCTCCCTGCTGAAGTACTGCTGAGCGAGCACACTCTTTCAAGTAGAAGGAGATACGTTTGAGAAATGGAATGGCAAGGGCTTTGAAGGAGGGTGCCTTTAGCTATTCTCTATTTCTTTGTGCAAAGTGAATCAAGTGCCATTCTGCTCTGTGCACTGCTTGGGTTCATTAATAAGAATGGTGTGTGGTTTCACCTTCATTTCAAATGACAACTATCTCACACTAATAGACAGCTCTGTTAAATAGAAAAGATCAGAAATGAAGTTTATCCTTACGATTTTCTGGATTCCACCCTAAGATGAAACTTCCATATCAAGACCGGAGCATTGGTTGCCTCCTGGACCAGTCATGGCCTTCTACCTCTGTTATTCTTCCTGATATAGTAGAAAGAGTCCAAGTTATGTTCTTGTTAAGTGAACCATGCCTTTCTAAGCAAGGCACATGTGTAATGGTACCTTACATTGTATTTATTCTCATTCTGCTGAGAAATCAGTTCTAAGTCTTAATCTCCTTTTGTCTCAGGGGGAATTTTCTCCAACAAGTCCATTTGAAGTCATTATGACTTCTACTAGTAATAAAACTGAGGTCACACACATACAGAAAGACACTCTGTGATTCATTTTATCAATTAAAACAATCCTTCAGGGGTCCTCTCTAGACTTTACTGAGGTAAGATGGGGTGTGGGAGACACAGAAACTATAAACAAATAATATCATCTTTCCACTATTGAATGCTTTCTGGTTTAACAGGATGTTTCCTGTGGGATTTAAAGATTGTCTGTTCCTGTGCCTTTATAATGGATCATGGCAGCTAGAGGACAATGAAAAAATTAAGTTTGTGTGCCCTTTTTCCAGTCTAAAACCCCCAAACAGGACTGAAACAGTTATAGAGTGTTTTATTTCTTACTTCAGATAGCACATCTTTTGTTATTTCTTTTCCAATGAGTATATCAATGTTTTTAAATCATTTATCTCAAGAATGCAAGTTGATATTAATTATATTTTCTTCTTCTTGAATTATAAACATCTGACTTACAAATGTCTCATACGACCTCATCATCATTGTTATCCAGAGAAGTAAACATCCCTTTGCAGTGTTGAGAGCTATGTGTGTGCAGGAGGAGCTACAGTGATCATATCCTGGCTCCATACTGTTTAGGGTTTGATAGGTAATTATTTGTCTTTTGAATTGTACTTGGAAACAGATCTGAAGCAATAGGACTAGTGTGTTCGGAAAAATATATATCACAAAATAGTATAGATGCTGTATTTGCAGCAACTACCATTGCAAAACTCAGTTCAAAGTCTAAACAGTTGGTGAATGAGTAATTGATCATTGAGGCCAGACCTGTTTAAGAAATGGTCCAGCTAGTGTATATGAATGAATATTTGTGTGTGTGTGTGTAGCTTCCAGGAGTTTTGTTAGATCCCAAGGATGGCAAGGTTAGGCCAGATAATGACAATCTTTAAAAATGTTCTACACCTCTAGGGTGATATGCACTTGGTTTCAGTACAATTTCAGTAGTCCAATGTCAAATCAGCTGGACACTGGCCAATCAT